GGAGGGGTGGAGACAGGGTGGGCTTCGTGGAGAAAGAGGAAGCTTTGAGGCAGAAACTCGGCTGCAGAGACAGAATTAACTGCTGTAATGCGCACGTTCTGAGTAAACAGGGAGAAAAGCGAGCACCGTGTGAGCCGGGCCGAGGTTAGACCCGGATCGGATGAAAATACGCCTCCAACAGAAACAGCCCGCGGGCAGAGGGGACGGCGCCGGGAACACGCACCCCTAATGTTTCTCCGAAGTCACTTTTTAAAGCTTTTTTAGTACGGAGGTTTTCAAATATAAAACAAATAGAAGCAGCCCTGAAATGAACCCCCATGTACCAGCCCCATTCAACGATTACCAAATCCTGCCCAATCCGGTTTTATCTGTGCTTCTCTCTTTCATGTTTACTATTTAATTAATTTCTTTGTTTTTGTTCTGATATTTTCAAGCAAATGCAGACATGACGTCATTTCACCCATAAACACATAAGTGCATCTTTAACTGATAAGAACTTTTTAACATTATCGGTGTGGCTATAAACCCCCTCACTGTAAATCCCTGGCCTGTCTAACGCTGAGAAGCAGTTGACTTTTGATGGTGGAAAAGCAGACAACTTACTTCTGTTTCCACTTGATTGCAATTTCCAGAAAGTCGATAATATACACTATTATTTTTATAATTAAAAAAATAAACAAAAACTAAAGCCAACGGCTGCAAAAGCTGGCGGGGGCAGGCACCCGACTCTCCCCGGGGTCTCCAGCGGGGAAGCTGGAGACCGCCTGTGGTTCTTGATTTCCTTTGTGCCTTTGTCCCCCGTGCCTGTTCCAGATTCAGAGCTCAGCGCTGTGAGGACAGGGCCGCCCCCTTTTCAGTCCACCTGTGAGGGGGTGCCCACCTCTCCTTTTCCCAAGAGAGCAGCTGGCTAGTTGTGGGGCGAGCCACCTCGGGGACCTGGTTTGGATCGCAGGGTCCAGGTGATGTTCCTTGCTAACAGACTGTGCAAGGCTGGAACCCTGCATCCCAGCAGGACCCCCCTAAAGGCAGGCAGCTTGGCTGATGCCCCAACTGGCTGCCTGAGGGGCAGGGAGACCAAAGGGAGTTATTCAGTTGATTTGGACTGGCAGGAAGGGAGAGCCGCCCTGGCCTGAGTATGCAGACTTGCAGGGAGGAGCTATCCACGCAGGGTCGGGCCCCAGGGATGGAGCAGCTGACCTCGCTAGGGCCAGGTGGAGAAGAGGGAGTTGACAGGCCTCAGTGGCCAGACGACTTCTCTGAGTCCCTGCCCCTCTCGGAGCCTCAGTTTCCCTTTCTGAGAATTGCCAGTTGGGGCCAGAAGGCCAGGAAGAATGCTTGGGAGAGAGACATCTACAGGCACAGAGAAAAAGAGAAGCATGCCGTGCCCCTCCTGCCTTCCTTTTGGTGCCCAGCTGCCCACCTGACCAGCTCCCAGCCCCTTCGGTCTCAATCCAGGTCGGTCGCTTTCTGGGACGGCTCAGGGCCCAGGCTCCGGGATGCCTTCACCCCAGGCAGCCAAGCCAGGCTTGGGGGGAGGAGGTTGGGGGCCACTGACAGCCCCTAACCTGCACCTGATGAGGAGCCCTGCAGGTCTTGCCTGCATAAGGGTCAGTTGGTGGGAGGCCCTGAGTGGGGAAAGGACGGAGGCCAGGGCTCCCCAGTGCGGAGTGGAGGGGTTGGGGAACTCCAGCTACTAGAGGAGCAGTTCCCAGGCCTCAATAGCTTCTCACCAGGGCTCTGGATGAGGTGGGCAGGAGTGAGCCCTGGGTGCCAGGTGGAGTGGGGTGCGGTGGGGCAGGGCGGGATGGGCAGAACCAGCACCTGGGGGAAATGGGTCCCCCACAAGTCTGGTTCTGTGTGGATTAGGAACGGGGCTGGGAGTCATTGCCAGACTGCAATTCCATGTTTGTCCTTCACCAGAGGAAGTGTCCAAGCCCTCACACCACCTTGGTGGCCCTTCCCGGGCCTGATGTGGATCCCACCTCCAGAGTCCTGGGCTGAGCTTTGGGGGTGGTGGGGCACTGGTGGGATACCATTCTTGTAGTATCCAGGGGACTGAGAGGTCCAGAGGGGGTGGTCACTCCCCCAGTCCCACACCAGTGCGGGCCCTGGAAGCTGGAGAGGGGTTTCCCTAGGGCATTAACCTGTATCTTGTCGGCCTCACTCAGATCAGAGAAGGCTGCGTAGATCCTTCCTCCCTCTGACGCCCGTGGCAGGCCCAGGCCGGTGGTCGGGGTCGCTGCTTCCCGGTGGGCGGAGCAGAGATTCTAGACGTGGCGCCGCGGGCTCCTCACCCTTCGCGCGCCGGTGGCCCCGGTGACTTGCTCCCCGGGCCCCGAGGGCCGCCCGCGCGGAGCTCTGGTTGGCAGGACCGCCCCGCGCGGAGGGCGACCCGCGGGGGACCTCAGCACCACGCTGCGCTCAGCGGCGCGCTGCAGTCGCCACGCCACCTCGAGACCACACCCGCATCGGCCACAGTCGAATAAAACGATTACATCGCTGTGATAACCCGTTTAACCTGGGTTTCAATGATCCCGTTCGCGGAGAGTCCCGCCGTGTACCGCGGGGTCGGTGCTGCGCGGAGGACTGGGACACGCCCGGCCGCCCGCCTGGTGCGGAGGGAAGGAGGCCGAGGGCGGCGGGGGCTGCGGGTGCGACCTGCGCCGGTCTGGAGGCCTCAGCCCGCGGGGCGGTCTAGCCAGGCACGTAGCTTGCATCTTCCAGGACTGGCAGAGATGTGTCCGCTGACTGCATGAGGCCACCACAAAAGCAACAGAAGCTAGAGGGCGCGGGTCCCAGGTGGAGCCTGAGCCCCAGTAAGGAGGCCTCGAGGAGTGGGAAGGAGGAGACAGGGGTCTGCGCTGACCCCCGAGTGGCCTGGAGGGGTCTCTTCGGCATCCCACTTTCCCCTGTGGCTGCTAACCAGGAGCGAAGGCCTTTGAAAATTACTAGTAGTAAACCAGTTTTATTGAAGCAGATCACAAGTCCCTCCTAGACAAGGTAGAGAGAAAGCTGAGAAAAGTGCTGTGTCCGGCAGGCCCCCACACCCACAAGGGAGAGGAGACCCAGCCCTGGAAGGGCTGGAGGGAGGTTGAGGTGGCCACTGTAAATTGCGG